CCTGGCCAGATCAGACACTGACTGCGCTTTGAGTTTCCCTTGAGAATAATCAATGACACAGGGTCCATGAAATCATTCCACCCAGGACACTTCTTCATTTTTCATGCCAGAGCCAGAGGGAAACAGGTGGGGGACTCCTTTAACCCCCACAGAGTGCAGCAGAAGGGGAGGAGGATTTAATTTTTGTTTTAAAATGTCCTGGTTGGGCTGCAGGTAAGTCCACCCTTCAGAGCGGGAGAAACACACATCCCAATGTCAAGCTGCCAAAGCAGGCTGCATGGAAAAGTCAAATCTAGGAGAGCTAAGGGACACTCTGCAGCCCCCCAAAGGGCTGGGAACAACCCAACACGTTAGAAAAACAAGGGGATTCCAAATTCAATGCTTTTTGGACACCACAGCACGTCAAAGCCCTCCTTGGAGGCTGCAAAGGAGTTCTAGTTTACAGAATTCTGCAAGAGAGTTTTTCTCTGCCAGTATTTGGGGGGGAGTGTTTGTTTGTTTGTTTGTTTTCCAAGCAATGACAAGCACGGAGATGGCCCTGGACTAGGGATGAACAGATGAACAGCCTCACCAGTCTCACCCTCAAAACACTGGGGAAGTCCCTGCCCAAGCAAGTGAGAACATGATTTCCAGCACTGATCTGTCAAAGACTTTGACAGCTTCATGTTCCATGTGACATTCTGTGTGACATCCCAGCTGCTGATGCCATTTGGGTAAGTCCAACATATTCCCCCTGTGCTGCCCCATTCCCACCCCAACAATCCCAGCAGCCTCCTCTTCTAAACACTTTTTGGTCATGAATATTTCAACCCATCCATTAAACCAGCAGGAACCGGTCCCATCCCACCAGAAAGACAGAGCCCTTCTCCCCAGATTATCAGATGCATTGCTTCATGGAATTATGGAAAACAACACACGTTTTCCTCAGTGAAACAGGGCCAAAGCAGTGCAAAGGCCAAACCATTTACAGAGGACACCCTTGTTTACACATTCAGCCCAACCTGAGGGCAGAGCACAGAGGGAAGTTCCCAGGAGCTGAAGGCTGATGTCCCAAATCCATCCAGTTTCCAGCTGTTCCATAGTTCCAGGCTAGAACTATGCTAGATAGGAACTAGATTTCCTTCCAATTCAATCCTGCTTTTAATCCCTCAAACCAAAACTGGCTGTTGGTTACACTGGTGCTGAGCACACACGAGGACCTGACATCTGCTTTGTTTATAATCACCAATGGCATAAGGTTAAGGCATAATTTGTCAGAGCACTGAGTACATCAGTCTTAGGAACCAGAATGTGTGGTGTCCCATGAGCACCTGTTAAAGAAGTTATTATTTAAACCATTGCTGTAACTTGAATGACAAGTTTGGATTTTAATTTTTAGTAAGAATTCCACTTAACAAACCCTGCCTGTTCTGAAGTGGAACACTGCAGCACAAAACCAAACGAGTTGCTG